CGTCCATAAAAATGAACTCAGGGCCAACAGCGCCCCTGAAAAGACGCACATAGGGCTCTAGGACCTCCTGCCTGTACCTCTGGGCATTCACGGAACCATTGTCAAACACATGGAGCGGTGTGCGGGTATCTTGCATGTGCGAATGAATGTACGAAAATGCTTTCCATCTCTTAATTTTTTCCACCAGTGTATATATATATATATATACAGAGAGAGAAAGAGAGAGAGACATAGATCGATATATGTAACTGTGAATGACAGAGTTTGGTGGTTGCAAAATATATACTAGGTCTAGTTAAGTGCCACTCCCTGGTATACATTTGTCCGGTATACCCTACACTGATGCTTTTTTAAGGTTCAGTGCCACTGCCCGGTATACATTTGCTCGGTATGCCCTACATCGATGTTCCCTTAAGATCAAGTGCTACTGCCCAGTAAGCATTTATCCGGTACTCCGAATATCGTATCCGAAATATCGAATAAATACAATAATGTCAACGAATAAATTAATCTTAATATAAAATTCTTAAATAATTAAATGGGATATAACAAATATTCCGGACATTTACGGTAATAATTCACGCATTTTCTGATACCACACACACGTGGTAGTCGTGAAGTCAAAATGGAGTCGAAAGTTCTACACCGATTATAATATAAAACCAAAAAAGAAATTAGTTTTGTAATCATTATATATCAATGATAACATTTACCGATATAATAAACTGACAAGAGCTATGGACTGCCTGGTATTCTTTACACATGCATTTTTTTCTTTTCAAATAAAGGAACTTAAGTCGGTATACCCAACACTGATTTATTATTATTATTTTAACTTTAATACCCGGTGCCCGGTATTCTCTATTCTGGTTATTTATAACTAATAAACGGGTTAAGGTAATTTTTTTTAAAAAAAAATTAAGTATAAATGTGATTTATCATCGGTAGTCAACTCAGGGATATTTTTCAAAGAAAAGAAAGAAATCGAAAAAAAAGTAATACATTGTTTCCTTCGCCGCCATCATCTTGTTACATGCTTTGCCTAAATAATATTTGTCATTGTACACAGCATCTAGGTAAGGTATATCATAATTCTCATATTTCATAGTTAGCTTAAAAACTCCTGGCATTGTATATGATGCCGGCGTTTCCTATATTGCCGGTAACGTTTATATGCTATAATAAGGGGGAACAATAATAGCATCTTTATTTTACTTTTTCTCTTTTAGGCTGCCAGAGCCAGTCAATGCGTGTTTAGTAAAGTGAAAAAGGTAAACCAGTGCTTTCAAATTTCGTTTTAAATAACCTTTTTTTAAAAATTTATTATTATTTTTTTTTACATTTTTAGATTTGCAAGTATGCATTCTTTATTTAAGTTTTTATAAAATGTAATAATAAGATTAATAGTTTAAACTATAATAACAAGATTTATAAACTAAATGATTATACTGGGGTATACATTTTTTGTTGCATTTATACATATACTTGATCTTGTCTAATTCGGAATAAGGATTGCAAATCCTAAATTAATTTCGCTCCTAAAACTACGGATTTTTTAAAATCACATTTTTTAAACGTTTAAACGTTATATATAATAGAGTGTTCCGTAAATGTTGCGACAAACAAGGGTAGTTAAGGCCCACCATCAGGATAAAAATTGAAAAGGAACCCATGTCCGGAAATGTACGTGACTAGGAGCACTTTCCTATTTTTACCTGTTCAGAAGCACTCAAATAAAAAGTTTAGGGTGGGGAGAAAGCAGTTAGCGGCTTATTACGATATTTTCGGGCATAACATCTAATGCACTTTTATTCCTGATTATGTGCCCTAACTCCCCTGGAAGTTTGTCGCAACATTTACAGGAATCACAGTTATATATAACATCCTTAATCCTGTACTTATATAGCATCTTTATATTTGGACAAAATATAGAGTAAAAATTTAATTTTAAAGATAAAGCTAACTTGGAGAGAGACACAGATTGCAAATTTGAAATCAGCAATGCAAAAGTATCTAAGATCTGTTAGAGAAAAAAAAATTCCCGTGTCATTCTTTATTAATTTCTTAATAGTTTTATTTATTTAAATATTATGTTTTATTGATTTTGACTTTAAAATCAATTTATAGTAAAATTAAATTATTTAATATTCTTTGTTCATGTAAATTTAAATGTTGGTGAATAAACTATGAAAATACATTAACATACTGCTTTGAATAAACACTGCTATCAACTTATAGAGCAGGAAAGATGTCAAGTAAGATTTTGAAAAAATATAATGTGATAATATTACTATTAATTCAATTTTTTCCACGCTCAATAAAAAAATTCATACTTTGATAAGTATCAAAGAACATTAATTAAAAGTATTATTAATTTTTAAAAATATAAATATTTGTAAAAGTGCTGGAGTATGATTGTTAACAAAAGAGGCTGATCCTTAAAAATACGAAATTTTAATTTTATCTCTAACCAGCTATATAGGATCGCCATACCTGGCCATGTTTTGTTATTAAAAAGAGTAACCTCTTTCAATTTGAATACTTGTTTTAATTCTTAGGGTGATGAGCGAACAAATAAGAGAACTCAATTTTAAAATTCTTAACATCATTTTTCTTTCCTCTGTACCCTATAGTAAATATATATATATATNAGAGTTTTAATGCTTTTATTAATACAAAAGTAATTTCTATAATTTTTGTATTATATATATATATATATATATATACTAACATTAATGTCTATGTTTTTAAGGCTATATACTTTTTTAAACACAAGTTTTTTTATTTATTTATTACTATCATTATTACTGTTGTTTCCAAAATTTCCAATCAATTTACTATCAAAAATAATTATCAAGCAAAAATGTTTAAGGCAAACATAAAATTTCTAACTAAAATGTTTTACTTCCATTTGTATTCGGTTTTGATAATTAGTCATAAACAGAGGTATAAAAAGGTTAACTAATTTAGATCTATCGGGATACTTTCCATGTTTAACTATAAATGAACTCTGATATTAATTGATGTTTACATTTTTCTTTTCAGACTTGTGGTGGCAACAATTAAACAACTGTAACTTGTCGCATATTTTTGTTTGTATTTTAATTTACTTTTTCAATAAAGTAAATAAACTTTGAAGGATGATTCATTCCACCTAAGAGAATAACATTTAAGGGTTGTAACAGAGAAAGGTGTAAATCGAAAATTAAACCAAACAGACGTCATCACAAGGACAATTCTGGTCAATAAACAAAACTCAAAAAATTATTTCTCGTTTAATACCTTCACCACTTGGACTTAACCCCTGACCTTAGGATCCGAAGTATGTCGGTCTAATCAACTTTCCAACATCTATTTGACTGAACAGAAATCAGGATTCTTTGTCATTATTGCAGATTTGTGGTACTTGGAATTCCCTCAAACATCTGCTGGACATCCAGCAGACACTTTAAATTTTTTTCATAATTATTTGCACCGTAGGAATCATTTGAAACTATTTTCAGGTGAAAAGAGAAGGAGTCATAATTTCGAAAAGGGCCTAGTTATACTTACAGAACTTTATTTAAAAATTCAAACTTCATCGAAAACACCGGAAATGTGCATTAAATGTGATGTGTTGGCATTAAGAATCTTTTAATATCTTTAGTTTAATTTATAAATAGGTATAGTTAATCATTATTTTGGTGAGTGGAATTTCTAACTTCTTATCTAATAGTATGAAACCGTTCCGAAAATATAACAAATTACAAAAAAATAATGATTATTTATGTATGTGTAGAATGGTAATATTGAGGTACTCATACGTTCAGGAGTTAGGTGAAAAACCTACTACTACACTACCTAGATTAAGAACTATATTGGTATAATTAGTTCTTATTACGACAGCAACTTATAAATAAATAAAATAAAATAAAATAATAAATTAAATAAATAAATAAAATAAAATAAAATAATAAATTAAATAAATAAATAAAATAAAATAAAATAATAAATTAAATAAATAAATAAAATAAAATAAAATAATAAATTAAATAAATAAATAAAATAAAATAANGGGTAAATAAATAAAATAAAATATAATATCGATAAATTGGACAGATGTTTCAGATTAACTAATTGTGGTGATACAAGTTTCAGAGCTTTCTGCATGATTTAGTTGTGTTGATCAACTTTTGATTACATAATTTTTTTAAAACCTGTATAAAGAACGGGTATTCAGCTAGTTGATTAATAAAACAAAACAAAGAAAGAAAAAAACGACAATATAGCACAAATGAAATTTGAAAAATGGGCATACTGCAGTTTCGATTCTATAAAAAGGAACCTTCCTCGGTGTCTAAACACCAAATGACAGTAGAGATGTAAAGAAACAAACTAGTGCAAAGTGGTTTAACCGATATGGAGCATAGGTGGAGGCAAAACTGAAACTCATTGAGCTAGTTTGTCTGTTTACTTCTGTACTATAATTTGGTATTTAGACACTGAGGAAGGGTTTTGTTTATAAAACCTAAACTATATTATGGACAATTCTGTACTTTCACTTATTGTGCTCTATTCACGTCATTATTTTTTTGCTTTAGTCTACATAATTTAATGTTTACCCTATCCTTTTTAACTATAGGTAATATTTGTTGAAATTAGGTGATGTTTACATAGGTAATATTTGTTGTTGTTATTATAGTAAATACCTTGAAGCCTTTATTAGTATATTATTTGATATCTATAAAATTAGGCAGCACCAGCTACCATGAGGATTAATACCGGTAATACTATTTACCAAAATTAATTTAGTATCATAGGCATCAAATATAACCTGGTGAATTTTTACGGTTTCCCTAAAAGAACTAATTTCATTTTCCATTTAATTCCTTACGCTGCGAAACGTAATGGCCCAATCAACTTTCCGCGCCATCCAGCTAAACTGAATTCAGGATATTGAGAAATTTTCGCAGATGTGTGGTATTTAATATTCCCACGGAGTACATCTAGCAAACAATCTATAAATTTGAACATCCCAAGAATCACTTAAGCAATATTTTCAGATGAAAGAGGAGGAAATAAAAATTTCGAAAAATAGCGATATGTACCTAGAAGCACTTAATGTACAAAAGGTTTATAATTTTATTTTTATATCCGTCGTTGAACAGCCGACCCAATTTTGGGTTTAAGACTACTAATGTTCATTGTAATTTTGAAACAATCCAAGAGACAAGGAAACTCCTCGATCAGTGCCCCCAGAAGTATTGATTTGTTATGCGATCATGGAGGACTTTGCGACTCGACAGATTTAACGTTCATAAGTCACCATTTACTACACGGGAAATCTTCGGCCAGCGGGGATCGAACTCACGAACTCTTGGACATGAGTACAGGGCCGTATAAACCAGGCTATCCCGACCTATATACAAACTCATAAAATCTGCAATGTCCAAAATTCATAAATCTGCAATGCGTGTCATTTATGGGCAATTTAAGAATTTTTTGTAATTTGTTTTATTTTATAATCCCCACCACACTGACACAGATAACTATTCATAGGGTAGGCCACATTCACACATCGCTGGACAACACACAGAGGAAAGCATCCATGTCCTTACCGGGATTCGAACCCGCAACAATTGGCTTCGCAATCAGGCATGCTAACCACTCTGCCACCCGGTCAGCATTATTAAATTGTAATAAAAAAATTTCATAAATAATTATTTGTGGAAATGAGTTTGATATCACGAATTCGTTATGGCTGGATGAAACTAAAATAAACCGAAATTACTTTCATTACGGAACAAATTTTATGTTGCACTTATGCAAATGCTTGGTATTGTTGAATTCGGGTGTGGGGATATCAAACCTATAATTAGTTCCATTCCTAAATCCACAGATTATTTTTTAAACTGACATTTTAGTATTTTTTTGTAGAAATGAATAAGATTAAACGCGTTATGTATGACTGGGGTTCACATAAATGTTTAGACAAACTTCTCGAGGAAGTAATGCGCATCATGAATATTAAAATTGCATGGAAAACTGTGTCTTGAAATGTCATACGCGGCTAGGGGCGTTTCCTTTTTATGATCTGTTTTTTCGTGTGATTATTCTGATTAAGTCATAATAGGGAAGCGACCCTAGTTGCGTCTGACGACATTTCCTGCCGCGGGTATCTATACAGTTTTAGTTCTGATGATGTGTCCTAACTCCCCAAGAAGACTAAAAATGTCATTTAATAAAAACTGGAACTTGGAGAGAGAAACCAATTTTAAATTTAAAATCAGTGGTACTAAAGTATCTAAGTATTAAAAAAATCTCATGCAGCAGAAGAAAAAAATTGTTCTACAGTGTTTTTGAACTCTTTTTTGATTAACATACTCTATTATATTTCTTATTTATTTTTTTAATATAATAGACATCTATTTTTATTTATAATGTACGCAATAACAACTAAATAAAATAATTTCTAAAACACTTTATTTAATATTTTCTAATAAATATACGTTTGATAATAATATAATTTAATAAAATAATTGTTTGAATTTATTCTATAAACACTCAATATGCATTTTCGAAACTTTTTTTCTGCATTTTTGTTTCTACAAGCAAGTTTGCAAAAGTTTCAGATAAGATACGTATTTTTCTTCCAAAAGAAAAAAGCATGCGCATGAAGAACCACCAGTTTTAACATGTATTGAAAAAAAATCATCATAAAATGTCTGAATATTTTGAATAATTTCATTGGCACGACATTAATTTTGTTAAACAGTTAAAAATATTAATTTTCCTCTACTTTCCATGGCAAATAAAATATCCATTTTGATAAAAATGTATAATCAGTTAAAACTTTCATGAAATTGCTCGCTAAAACCATTATTTCAATACAAATAATTAAGTGTAGTGGGAAAAACTTCCTCTATTTAATATGGTTGTGAAAATTCCCTCTCTCAATCACAGAAACGATGAAGAATGTCTGAATGTTTTGAATAATTTGATTGGCATGACATTAATTTTGTTAAACAGTTAAAAATATTGATTTTCCCTCAACCTTCCATGATAAATAAAATATCCATTTTGCTAAAAATGTTTAATCAGTTGAAACTTTCATGAAATTGCTCGCTAATTTCAATACAAATAATTAAGTGCAGTGGGAAAAATCTTCCTCTATTTAATATGGCTATGAAAATTCCCTCTCTCAATCACAGAAACGATGAAGAATGTCTGAATGTTCTTAATAATTCGATTTGCACGATATTAATATTGCTAAACAGTTAAAAATATTAATGTCCCTCAACCTTCCATGGTAAATAAAATATACGAAAAATAATTAGATAAAAATTTAATAAAATAGTATGATAAAAATACAAGTGTAACGGCATGGGGTATGCGAGTGCACGTTATAGATACGATACGATAGTTTAAGCATAATACATACGATAAGCATACGATAATTAAGCACGTATAGATACGATACGATAATTTAAGCAACCGAAATAATTCAGTAAGCTAACTTTATGAAACTAATACGAATGCAGCAGAAACAAAATATTGGCGACATATAACTTAGGGAATATCATAAATAAATCTGATAAACAGCGTGGGATAATACAAAATAACTTACTTGTAAATTGAAATAAAGGCAACGGCGACAACTCGATGCATCACATAAAATTAATTAAATCCAAGTTAACATGATGTTATCTAGAGAAAAGTCCATTGTGTTGGAGTATATTGCAGGAGATCCTGCACGAAACGGAAGCACACGTAGAAATAAATGCACAAACGGGCAGCTGCACAAGATGGCGTGGCATGAAAACGATTTGGCCACGTTGATGATTTGAGAAAAAGTGATGATGCTTTACACTGCCGACTTCTCACGTTAAATGTACGTGGATTGAGCTGAAGAGCATGTTCAAAATCACGTTCGGGTCACCAGTGTGGTAAATCATGTTTTAAAAAGCACGTGGATGGGTCACCAGTGTGGGGAGAGTAGTTACAGACCATGTCAACCGTCATCTATGAAAAGGTACCCCGACATAGAGTCGAGTTAACATGTCTTATATACTAGTGAATTGTAGTTGTAATTTTGTAGTGGTAGATATGCTACAAACAGTTAAAAATATTAATTTCCCTCTACTTTCCATGGCAAATAA